TGTCCGGCCGCGTGCTCCTTGGGCTTTCTTGGAAATGAGCAGCCCCCAGCAGAGTCCTCAACACCTCCAGAGCTTTGTTACAGCTCTTGCCAAGTGCTAAATGTTGCTGTTGTCGTCATGGTGACAGCTACATCTCATTTTGGTTTTAATTAAAGAAAAACCTGCAGAGGTTTAGAGCATGTGCTCCAGTCTCGCAGGGACCACGGAGTAGCCAGATGCTCACAGGATGACATTTTTTAGCTTGTCTGAAAGATGACTATTTCTTCCCAAGGAGGTTTCCCAGAAAACCGCTCAGCGGCTGGGACACCCCATCTCACGCTGGGCTCATCATATACTTCTCTGGCACCCAAAACAAGCACTTCTTCTATATGTTAAGTCCCAGACTGTATCTTTCCCCTAGGCACAGACACATTTGGAATCCCAGAGGCAGCTACTTACAGCTATTTGAGCTCAGAAGCTCCAGTGGGGTCAGCTCACGAGGAAGTCAGAGGTTTAGCTTGAAAAAAAAAGTCCGAGCAGCTGTGATTTATTTATAATTGTGCAGATTCATCAGTCTAGAGACTGCTGCAATCTTCTTTGACTTTCCGCTCAGCCAGGTGCTGCTGCTGGTGCATTAGACATGTTTCAGGAGTCTGCTGTTAAAGAAGCTGGCTATTCTTCCTGCTAACATTAAGCCAAAGCCGTTTATACAGAGCAGTCCTGGTGGTTACTGAATTCAGAGGCAGCGGTGGAATCCCAGCAGAACGTCGCTCCCTCCACCATCCTGGAGGGTGGGAGTCTCCGCAGAGCCTGCGTAGTTTTTTCCATGGGATGTGAATGGCTCCATTTGAGAAGAAGCGGGTACACCCTTCAACAGAAAACCAGCACACATTCGTTTTGTAGTCAGAATTTTTATTTTCTTATATCCAGGCTTATAGTTGACATCTGAAAATAAAATCTTTCATTTACAAATAGGCTAGTGCAAATTAAAGATAATTTTGGACAAAAAAAAGACGGATTGCATGTAACAAAAAAGAAATGTGTCTGTTAGGATGATCTGCCTGGAACAGCTGGAGGACGTCGCCTAGGAAAAAGACAAAAAATAACCCAAAATTCATGGGGAGGGGAGAAGAGATTTAAAACAAAAGGTCAAGATACAATAAAATGACTCATATACAAAATTATCTTAATAAAATGGGTTAAGAGAAAGAGGCACAGAACATGCACATTAAGGAAAAGGGCAAGAGCAAGATTAGAATCAGCTGGCTATGAGCACAGCCTTGGCTTTCATCCGCACCGCCTCCCATCTGACTTACTGGCACCAGAGAACTGGGACAATCACATCACAAGTGGGCAGGTCACTGGTCACAGGCTTTCTGATTTTCTTGCAGCAAAGATCATCCTCTGGAAGACCTTTTCCCCAGCCAACCTTAGAATCTGCACCGCTCTCTGCTGCAAACACTGTCCTTGGAGTGGACCTTTTTTAAGTGAGATTCTGATGAAATTGGGAAAGATCAAACCAGATGGCCCATGGGCTGGATGGGGGCATCTGGAGGGGACAGCGCTAGGAAAGGTTAAAAATGTGGGTGACGGCAGTGCAATGAATCTACTGCCAGCCCTAGCAGGAGAGACCCTTGGCTGCTGATGGCCTACTGCAGCGGTTGGAGAAGGAGGGATGCTCCTTCTGGTACCCAGCATGGAGCACTGACGTGTCGCTGACCAACATGCTGGGAACCCAACTCACCCAGGGGTACGTGAGGTACTCCAGCCAGAGGGGACACGTGTGACACTGCTGTTCGCCGAGTGCACAGACTGCCTCGGGCATAGCCAGTACAGGCTGTTCAAAAAAACGTACCTCCAAATGTTACAGCAAGCAAGTGAATACAGCGGGGACATTGCTGTCTTGCTCATCCCACCTTTGCTCCCCCCTTTCCAAAACCTAAGCACACACGTAGTGACTGTTGTGCTCAGTGAGAGACATCCTCTCCCGTAGGAAGCTGTTGTGCTTCTTGTGCCGTACAGACCATCACCTCCAAGCACCGATTCCAGTTCCTTGGCTCCTACTGATCTGAAGGAGGAATTGAGTAATCACGACATCTGCACTTTTGTACACAACCACTTCAGGGGAAATCCCTTCCGGACATAATGCATCCACACACACATTTTTGCTCCAGCTCCTGCTCTGTAGGACTCACTGAGCCTTCTGCTCAGCCTTGAACCTTCCCAAGACATGCTTTCCCTGGGAATGCAATGAATACCAGGTACTGCTTGAAAAACCGTTCATCCATCTCCCACCAAAACGTCTCTGCAGCACTCCAAGCCCCTTGCAGGGCAAAGGGCCGAATGCTCCCCAGGGGTGACGTCTCCCCCATCTCCCCTTTTAATGACATCTCTAGTGATCTCAGAGCAACATGTACCTCCGAGAAATCCTCCCTGCATCTCAACAGAGGCGGAGCATGGCATGCTGAGATGACGGTGCGAGAGACAGAAGACCACTGGTGTGCATCCAGAAAGTAATAATAAGAGCCCATCAAGAGTTACAGTTTATTTCAGGTTCAGAAATGCAGCATAACATTTTTACAGCAGGTGTGTGTGATGCTCAGTAATGGCCACAGTTTCGGGAATCGACTTGCTGTGCTCAAAGGTCAACACCAGGAACCATTTACAGATTATGAAACCAAAGGCAGATGTTTTGGCTCATACGAAGTAGGGCATTAACAAACAGTAAAATTCAGAAAGAAATGAACCATTTGCTTCTTACAAAAAGAAGTCATCGTTTACACCATCCTGGAAAAGTAAAGAGACAGTAAAGCAAACGGCCGGCAAGACGGGACAAATCATAGATCAAGCAAGAGTGGAGGACTGTCTGGACGGGAGGAGCCATCGGTATCAGCTCGCCTGCAGACAAAGCAAGAGGAAAGACAGGCAGAGTGACATTCATTTACACAGGGGAGCTGTTCTGCGAGAGCCCGGGGAGGAGGTTCAGTGCTGCAGCGGAGGAACTGGGCCACGCGCACACCGAGAGGTCGGACGCCTCCCTGGGGTCACAGGTGCAAAACAGGTCTGCTTTGAATTCAGGAGGTTTGGACTATTTTAAGACAGAAAGACAGAACTAGCCAGCAATCTCGATATGCCATATACATGTTGTTTAGCATAGCTGTCTACAATAGAGGGTAGAATATTGTCTATGTTATGCTTTAACATGAGATGCCATAACCTATAATGTAATAAATAACCTTTAATATAATAAATAATCTACTTTTACTTAGAAAGTGCAACAAGATCAGCAATAAAATAAACACACATTAACTATGTACATAAGCCTTTCCACTGAACACACAACCTTTTGAATCCCAACACAAGATCCCTTGAGACTCAAGGCTGAGTGCTATTTACGGCCCGCACAAGCTCTCCGGCTGCTGGTCAGCTGTGACATGAGGAGGAACATGTTCTCCAGGCAGGGACCCAGGCTCAGCCTAAATGCAATACTAGATGAGCACCCTCCTGAAACTTAGCGACATACATCACCCAGCTAATGATGCCCCTCCCATATGATCAGAAACTCTGCGGTTGCTTAACAGGAGTCTCTGCTGCTCCCGGGCCATCTTCTGAGCTTTGCCAGAGGGAGTCAAAGAAAGAGAGAGCAACCTGGACTTCTGAGCTATGGGAGCTCAGGCTTACCTCCCCCCATGTAAGGGTGTCTGCAGAGGGGACAGGGGCCAGTCGGAGGTGGCCGGTCCCTCGAGCAGGTCCATGCGGTGCTCGTCCTGCTGTCCTTGAGGCATGGAGTGAGCTGCTGCCAAGACTGCTCCTCTGAGAACAAGGGACGGGAGAGACATGACTCGCCAGCATCAGGAGCAGCCGTGACAAACCAACCCGTTCCAGGCACTGCACAGCAGGAGGAGCTGGGCCAGGGCTGGGAGGACAGGACTTATTCAATTGGACGTGGCAATTTCTTGGGAAGCACTGAGCATTTTTCCTAGAAATAACAATTCTATACAGTTTATTCTGAAAAGATTATATGCAAGAAGTTAGGGGTAAAATCATCACACTCTGGATCGGTGCTCAAGGGTAATTATTAACCTGCACACCTAAGAGTGCTGCGTTTTGTTCGCAGGGCCAGATTCAGATATGATCTGAGTGAGGATGCAGAGGAAGAGAGGGCTGTGCAGCCGTGTCCCAGGACCTCAACACCAAGCGCAGAACCAGATGGTGCTGACAGTGGGGCCACAGGCACTTCTCTGCCTCCTCCTCCTCCTCCTCTCTCTTGGGTAAACCCACCCTTGAGAGCTTCATTTACAATTCAGGATTACTGTTGAGAAATACAGTTTATTGGGGGGCAGGTTTGCTGGTTTGGGCTCCCTACTTCCTTATGCTCGACAGAAACAGTCATTAAAATAAATTAAGGAGTCTTGAGTATGGATGATTTAAAAACATGTTACATCATCTAATTGCAGCTCCTAACTCACCAGCGTTACTGCTGCCCTCGTCTCCATGCAGCCACACCGCTTTGAGTCACCTTCTGGAGGTGCTGCCTCTCTCCGCTGAACAGAGGGGACCTGGGACACCCGAGTCGAGTGCTTGGGGCACGGTGTGGTAAACCCAGACCATGGCCTTGCAGTATCACTGAACGAATCACAAAATTGGGGGTTAAAGCAACTTTCTGGGGCTGAAGTGGAAGAGGCACAGAGCCTGGCTCTCTGTCAGTGGCAGCTGCCGGTCAGTAACAGAGTTCTGATAAACTATGTACAAGTCCGCTGGCTAGGCAGCAGTGGGGACTACTATAAATACTTATCAAAATACATCTAATAGATGGATTGAGTGTTACAGCAGAGGGTCCTACACAGTGGAGAACTGTGTAGAACACAAGAAAAATCATCACAATATGTTTTTGTGGGGTTTTTTTGGTAGCAAAAATTACTATGCCTGTAGTTGGGTTTGCAACTTTTTTCCCTTGAAAGCTGATTCCGTGCACTCAGTTTTGGAGATCTGGGCTGTTCTCCAAACAAACACTGGCCACCTAAGCAGTCTGCTGAGATCACCACGATGGCAGTGTTCTGACAAACTCCATCTTCACTGGACTTCAGATGCTGGCCTCTAGGCTCCCCAGGTGCGTGTCACAAGTATGAGGTTGACAGGAAATGAAAGTTAGGCTAACATACAAACCACGATGCTTTCCCAAGCTCGTTTCTCTTACGCAAGCTGAAACACGTTTTGGTTCAGTGGTGAGCACAACCCTTAGTTAATCAGCAGTCTGGAATACTTCATAGGCAAAATCCCCATGGTTGTGGCTCTTTGATTGGATTCTTCCTAACCACTGGGCTACAGCATACTGGACCCTACATGCAGTCTCAATAAATACATTTATTGAAATATTTGAAACCACCAATTGCTTTGCCTAGGGATCTGTAACCATAATTGTAATAACAGCAATTAATATTTTCTGAAGAAACAAAGCTAAATTCATGGCTGGTTGAATTCTGTTAACTCAGTGAGTTCTGAGCTGTAAGGGTGACACTGACCCTCAGCGTTTAAAGTGAAGTAATGCAGTTAAGACAAGAGGTTTTTATAACGCATTCATAGATAATGTGCAAAACGAGAGGCAGAGAGGACCTCTGCAGAGAGGCAGAGAGGACATCTGCTAAAACCATCCATTGCTAGGATGCACAGCCCAGCACTTCTCAGTACCTAGCTGGAAAGCAACCTGAATCTGAGGTGTACAGAACCTCCAGAGATGCAAAGAGAAAAATCTTTATAGGCATAGTGGAACTTTATCGACTGGCATGAACAAATAAATCCAAACTAGACCCTTGGAGAGCTCAGGTGCCAGTCTGGGCCACAGCTCTGTGAGCTGGCTCACACCGTGGGCAGAGTGGTAGCCCATCTACAGCCGTGCATCTATCAATATCTGCATGGGTATCTCCTGTTCCACAAAATGACCAAAAGCAATGCTCAGCTCTCTGGATCCTGCCGTGCAGTTGTCCCATACACGCCCTTCTAGTTTAATGACATTCCTTAAAAACTAGACTTTGGATAAGGAGAAATTCTAGGAGAAGCAGCCATCCAGCAAGCTTCTTGCAAGAGAGACATGGAAGTGTGGGGCCTTCAGAAGAGCTCGGTAAGAAACCACATTGTTTTTCTCTGCCCAGTTTAGCAGTTCAAAAAGAAAATGGGCACAACTGTGTAATTCCAAATGACAGAAAACCTGAAAGGTACAAATAAAAGCAAGATTCCTTTTAGACACAAGGAAGGAAAGAAGCAGGTCAGATCAAGACATGCACAAACACGCAGAGGCAAGCCCTCCTTTGACGAGACAGGACTGGGAGCACAGTCGCCTGGGTGAACGCGTGTGTCAGTACGTTAGCCAACACCAGCTATTGCAAAAGGAAAAGTCAAGGCAGCACAGACCTTCCCAAAACATTTAAGACCTCATAAACAATGCAGAATGGACAGAGAGTATATCAGTAGAATCGGTTACTTGCCTATAGATGTCCATACATGCGACTATACATTGGTTATTGCAACAGTTACCGAGCAGTTTGCTTCCACAAATTTGGTTAACAATGAACGACATGCCAGAAACTTCTTTTAGTCTAACAGGGATGAGTCTAACGGACGAATAACAGTGGGCCGAGTAGGTGAAGGGGGTGGTCTTCGACTGGAGAGAGAGAGAGAGAAGAAACAATAAGCACAAACACTGAGAACAAACCCGGCACCTCTTGCTGTCACTACACGAACATGCACATGCACCCGGACACAACAGCCTTATTTCCCTGGACCCTGGAGCATGGCAGCCGTGAGCATCCATGGTAAGGAAGGAAGCGATGGGTTTGCCACACACACACCGTGCCTTAGCCCTCTTGCGCATCGGACAGCTCTTCGCTCTGGTCCACAGGCTGGGTGTTCTCCCAACACAGTTACCTTCTTGTGCCACGGAAACCATCGGGGCAGGATCATCATTCGTGTCTTCCCAGGGGTCGGTCCCAGCCGGGACAGCCACAGAGCAGACTTACAGGCACATCTCAGAGCGGCCAGCTGGATTCAGGAGGACAGCCTCCAGCGCCTTCAGCTGCTGTTTGCAGAAGCAGGAAAACCTGCAGCTTCTTGCACCGTTGGGCCAACTGAAGCCACACCGATGTGCTTCAGTTTGAGGCACAAACGCCAAGCTGTACATCAATGGCCAGTTCCGAAAATCCTAGCCATGGCTATGGCCTCTGGATTCATTAATTCACCACTAGTGCGTTCCTCGATCGACTACGGGAGTCCCAGATTTCCTGGGAGTGCTGAAGGGTCTTTATTCCCCTGTTTTAATGGCTGTATCAGCACAGGCTCCAGTGTACTGCACAGCCCTGTATCACCATCTGATAGGACAGCACAACACAAGAGTTTGACAGCAGTGGTGCCATCCCTGAGCACGTTCCACCTGCGGTATATGGTTCATATCAGCGCTGTGTGGAGATAACTCCATCAGCTTTGTTACAGAGTTTTTCATTAATACTCCATCCCACCTGGGCTAAAACACTGCACCGCTGAGCAAACCCTGTGGAAAATCTGAGCTGAAAATACCTCCAGCGCCTGCACTGCTCAGACAGTTCTGCCCAGCGCTGCCACGTGCTGTGGAAATATACCCAAGAGACTGTGGCTCGCAGCCAGTCTGCTCCCTTAGCTGGCTATTCAGCCCCCTCCAGCAGGGCTTTGTTGCTGCAGTTATTCCATCTCTTACACAAGGTTTTTGCTCCCCATTTTCTCTAATGGGAATTACCAGTGATCTCTGTATTCCTTAACCCAGCCCAAGAGCGTGCCGCTGCTCTGAGAGAGGCATGAACCCGGGCTCTGAACAAGGTGGGATGCTGAGGGCTCTTCAGTTCCCATCCAGCTTCAGACAACTTCGTTAACAGCCAAGAGAAACCGTACAGCCCTCCCTAACGCTGTCCTCCACAGGTGAAAGCAGGAACAGTTCCTGCCTCCGAAGATTACAAAGGAAACACGTCTCATTCAGTTAAAGCTAAATAGAAGATGAAAAGAATGTAACGATGTGTTAATCATCTTTGAACAGGAACATAATACGAGAGACAAATTTACACTTGACAAAAAAAGTCTTGCTTGGCTCAAAGTGCATCTTGTACCACAATATTCTCTTTTGGTGAAGAAATGAGAATTTTAATCCCTAACATGCAACGAATACAAAATATGCCAACTGAAGCATTCAAGTAAATCAACAAGCTGAAAAAATAGGCAAAATATAATTTCTTCGTGGTGTATTTTTCTTACAGAAAAAATGTTACTGTGTTAACTATTGTTTCTTGTATTGCTCCAGTGTAGGTCTTTTGGATCCATTTCCAAAATTTGTAGTTTCATAAAGAACCACTTCTAAGGCTCTGCATTTCTGCTGGGTTGCATTAAATTATTCCTTTGTTGAAATGCCTCACATTGCATTGTTTAGCGCTTACTGAAAACATCGTATCATGTGTATACAATTTACAAACAAGGGAAAATGCATACAGCTGTCTTCATATCAAATTTAAAAGATAGAAGCCCAAGCATGCATTTTAATACCAGGTTGAAGGCAGCACACTGTATTCAAATAATGTAATTTAGTCAAATTGCTATTTAGCCCAGCAGGATGAGAAACTGGAGAGCACAGTGTGAGGATTTCCAGGGCACAGGAAATCAGTCAAACCAAACCTGAACCAAAATCAGGTCTGAGCCCCATTTCCTCCTTGAACCAGAGCTGTTATTGCACTCTAACCATTATTTTGATTTTTCATTCTAGCTCAATCCAGACCTGAACAGAAGAATCCCCCAGCAGGCTC